GAGCCTGCTGTAACAGTTGAAATAGATGTATGTAATAGCTTGCAAGCTAATAAACAAACTAATGAGGTCGCTGTGCAAGTTAGCAATGAAACCCATGAGATTGGTGTTCAAGTATCTGATAATATGTTGCATACTCTCGAAGCTCGTATTAATCTACTTCAATTACAGTTAAATTTGAAAATAAATGAGGTAGAAGACCTTAAAAAACAACTAGAATATGCGTACGATTATGTAATAGAAAGTTGGGATCATGTTCAAGAAATCAATAAAATAAATAAAGAATTAACTGAACAAAATAATGCATTTAAATATAAATGGGAAAACCGATATAGTAACCAAATAAAAAGAATTGACGCTATAATTCAAATTGCCAACCAGGAACGCCAAAGCATTTACGAAGATATTGAGTCATTGATTTTAAATAGGCAACGGTTTTCACTTAATAATTTATTAAACTTTACACCTAATAATTGGTTAGCTAATCGTAACCCAGTTCTTGTGAATTTTATTAATACTCTTACGTATAATAATAGTAATAACCGTAATAATTACACCTTGAATGAAAAGATTTTTAAAAAAATAGCTGCTGTTGATGCTATATATAGATCGAGGCATAAAAACTATGTATCAGAAATAAATCTAGCTATAACCGAAATCAAATATTCGATCGCACGATCTAAAACAATTATCGATATTGATAACCATATAATCAGTTCCGGGAGTTATACCAAATTCGTTAGTTGGCTAGAATCATTAGCAGTTGAGAGTGAATCTTTACCTAAAGGACTCTTATTTTTAGCCTTCGATAACGAGCAACGTGGTCAACATAATTATCTTGATCGTGGTTATAATACAGTTATATATCACACAGTTACAAGTTTCATCGCACTCAATATGAATAAAAATAATCGTGTTCAGTTTACAATTGCTCCTTGGCTTTGTGATTCGCTAATTGATAAACAATATGATAAGTTATATTATATTGCACCCGAAATGCAATCAGAACACGAATTGGAATTAAAATTATACTTATCATCAATTTTAGAGGAGCTTGTCGTGGAAAAAAATGATAAATTCAATACGATCGATAT